CACACACACACACACACACACACACACACACACACACACACACACACGGCTGTCTGTTTGGAAAACTTCTGGGTCTTTTCTCTCCATCTTAGGTAATGGCAGCATCAATCTCTGACTCTTCTCTGACTCTGCTTTTATTTTCTATTACATGCAGCTGATCTCCAGAAACTATAACCCTGATTACTATACCATTCACTCTTATTCAGTTCTCATCAAACATTGCCTCAATCAGAATGCAATGTGCTGACACTTTTTTATTTTATGCACTCTGACCAAAATTTGGCTGCGTCTCAGCTTGCTTTGATACCTTAATCAGTAGAGTCTGTCAGAGGACCTTTGTGGTAGACTTCTTTCCCATTACCTGTCTTCTCTTGCTTCCAATGTCTATAGTATATGCTCTTTTGAATAAGGATTGAGCATCTTCCCTAACATTTCCTTGTTGTTTAGCTTCTTTAGGACTATAGATTTTAGTATTAAATCCTACATTTTGTGTCTAATAACCACTTATGAGTGAGTATATATCACGTGTGTCTTTCTGCTCCTTGGTTACCTCACTCAGGATGATCTTTTCTAGTTCCCACCACTTGCCTGTACATTTCATGATGTCCTTGTTTTTAATAGCTGAGTAGTACTCTATTGTGTAAATGTGCCACAATTTCTGTATCCTATAGAGCAACAGTAATAAAAACAGCATGGTATTGACAGAGAAACAGTCTGGAGGATCAATGGAATAGAATAGAAGACACAGCAATAAACTCACACACCTACGGATAACTTGATTTTGACAAAGAAGCCAAAAAAATACAATGGAAAAAGATAACATCTTCAACAAATGGTATTGGTCTAAATGGATGTCCACATGTAGAAAAATGCAAATAGATCCATATTTATCATTCTGCACAAAACTAAAGTGCAAGTGGATCAAAGACCTCAACATAAAACTGGATACAATAAACCTATTAGAAGAAAAGGTGGGAAAAAGCCACCTTCATTGGCACAGGAGACAACTTCCTGAACAGAACACCAACAACACAGGCTCTAAGATCAACAATCAATAAATGAGACCTCATGAAACTGAAAACCTTCTGTAAAGCAAAGGACACTGTTATCAGAACAAAATGTCAGCCTACAGATTGGAAAAAATATCTTCACTAACCCTACATCTGACAGAGGGCTACTAGCCAAAATATTTAAAGAACTTAAGTTAAACACCAGCAAACCAAGCAATCCAATAAAAAACGTGGTACAGAGCTAAACAGAGAATTCTCAACAGAGGAATATTGAATGGCAGAGAAACACATAAAGAAATGCTCAACATCCTTAGTCATCAGGGAAATGCAAGTCAAAACGACCCTGAGATTTCACCTCACACCCATCAGAATGGCTAAGATAAAAAACTCAAGGGATGATGCATGTTGGAGAGGATGTGAAGAAAGGGGAACCCTGCTCCATTGCTGGTGGGAACATAAACTTGTACAACCACTTGTAAAATCAATCTGGTGCTTTCTCAGAAAATTAGGAATAGTGCTTCCTCAAGATCCAGCTATATCACTCTTAATCATATATCCAAAATATGCTCAACTATATAACAAGGACATTTGCCCAACTATGTTCGTAGTAGCTTTATTGTAATAGCCAGAATCTGGAAATGACATAGATGTCCCTCAATGGAGGAATGGATACTGAAATTATGGTACGTTTAAATTTAGGTATTTCAACATCCCATATTATTACCTCATTTGTGATAGGAGTCTAAACATGTTATCCTGGCTATATTCTTTTCTGAGTTTAGTATGTGTTTTCTAAATATGAAGATATTACACTGGCTGTTTTTAATCTTTCCATTGGCTTTGTTCTATGAAACTGCAAACTTGCTGTATTTACTCCAGGAATTATATCATGTGCAAGGAAATTGACGAGAGATAAATATCTGGAGCAAAGTTGACTACATCAAGGGCATTACTTTTATGTTTTTATGCTCCAATTGCAATAGTAAAATGATTCAAAGAATAATTGAAAGAATTGACTGAAATCATTCCTGGTGAACATCATTAGTTTGACTTCACTTAAAAAGTTAGCAATGAAAGTTGATGAAAGGGGAGGAGGTCCTCCTCAATCAGTGTAATTGGAAAGGGGCAGGAAGGAGATGAGGGAGAGAGAGTAGGATTGGGAGGGAAGGAGGGAGCAGGATACAGCTGGGATACAGAGTTAATAAAATATAACTAATAATAAAAATAAAAAAATTAAAAAAAACCAAACAAACAAAAAAAAAAGAAAGTCTTTGACATAAATTTAAAAGGAGGAAATCAGGGAAGGGTACGTGGCAGGGTTTGGAGGGAGAAAAGCAAAACAGAAAATGATGTAATTATAAATACTCTGATAAATTAAAGAAATAATTAAAGAATTATTTCATAGAGAGATAGGTTAATGTGCCCATTTGACAAATTCACAGTCTACTTTGCTATTTCAAGACGAACTAGCCTCGTTATTTACATTTTCTTCGATAACCTGGGAAAGAAAAGACTCACAGAAAGCTTGATTAGGGTAGATGTCTGGAAAGTTTGGAGAACTGAATGTTGTATTTGGCTCCCATAGTTCAAAAGGTCCTCCGCAGTCAGCTGAAAGAGATTAGGAAAGAATCATTAACAGCACCAATCCCACACCACAGAGGCTCTATTAGATGTCAGACATTGTACAATTACAGTTCCTACAATGCTAGTTTTGACAGATTCATTTTACACTTTGTATAGCGTGCTAGATAAATGACGTTAGTACACTGGTGTGTCTACAAAAGTTCTCAAAAACTTTACAATCTTCTTGCCTTTATAAGTTTTCAGGAGACTGTAATAGTGTTTAGGATTGCCCATATTTGTTTGATCAAGGGAAAACATTCTGTGAAACACAAGGAAAATAATAATAGCTGCAGAAAAAACATGAGTGTTTATAATGTAGCAAATCCCAGCTCTGCCACCATCCTAGAAGGGCTATGATGGAAAGTCACTGATCTAACGCTCTGAATTTTCTATGACTTAAAGAAATCCATTATTCTTAAAGTATTAGGTGAAAATGTCACTAAATGTTGAAACACCTGGTAGCCAGGAAACATTTGGTAGCCAGGAAATTTTCTCCTCTTGTTTAGTAATTCTTTCGAGGGAAATTATGCTGATGAACACCTGTGATCCCAGGTCTTAGAACAAGAAAGCGGGTAGATTTGAAATTCTAGGCCAGCACCATGAGAGCCTGTACACAACCTCCCCAAAACACAAAACAATAATTTTTCATTTTCTTTTCTGGTTACATCTGCTACTTAATATTTTCAAGGTTCCATTGGTATTCCTAGAGCTAAATTAAAATTTATTAGAAATCTTCTAGTTCTGACTAATCTTCTAGTTCTTCTTATCCCTATTATTATAATTATTTATAATTTATTCATTTTGTTTCCTGGCTGTAGCCCCCTCCCTCACCTCCTCCCATTCCCACCATTCCTCCCTCTGCCTACTCTATCTCTCTTCCCTTGTACACCAATGGGGGCGGTATCCTCCTCGCCTACTGTCTAATCCTAGCCCACCAGGTCCCATCAGGACACCTGAATCCTCTTCCTCTGTGGGTTGTCTAGGACACAGCAGGGAGAAAGGATCAAGGAACAGGACAACAATTTCATGTCAGAAAATATCTCTTCTCTTCTTACTGGTAGATCCACATGGAGACTGAGCTAAGGTTTACATCTGAGCAGGGGGTCTAGGTCCTCTCTATGCTTGGTCTTTGGTTCATGCATCAGTCTCAGCAGTCCCTGCTGGGTCCAGCTGTTTTTGGCTTTGTTGGTCTCCTTGTAGGGCTCCTGTCCCCTCTGTGTCCTTCTTTATCCACTGTATTCACTCCTATATGAGGATTAAGCATCTTCCCTAGGCTACTCCTTGTTGCTTAGCTTCTTCAGGTCTGTAGATTTTAGTATGTTTATCCCATATTATACGGCTAATATCCGCTTATAAACATCTATATACCATGTGTGTCTTTCTTCATCTGGGCTATGTCAATCAGAATGATCTTTACTAGTTCCATCCATTGACCTGCAAATTTCATGATTTCCTTGTTTTTAACAGCTGGGTGGTATTCCACTGTGTAAATGTACCACAATTTCTGTAACTATTTTTCTGTTGAGGGACATCTAGGTTGTTTCCAGATTCTGGCTAATATGAATAAAGCTGCTATGAACAGTTTAGCAAATGTCCTTGTTGTATGGTTGAGAATCTTTCAGATATATACCCAGGATGGTATAGCTATGTCTTTTTTATTATTTTTCATCATCATCATTATTATTGATATCATTATTATTATTATAATTTATTTACTTTGAATTTCAGCTGTTGCCACTCCCTCATTTTTTCTTGGTCTCACCCTCCCTCCCTCTTCTCCCACTATGTCTCTCCTCTAGTCAACTGATAGGTGAGGACCTCCTTCCCTATTATGTGAACAGAGATTATCAGGTCTCATCAGGACTGTCTGGATCCTCTTTTTCTGTGGCCTGGCAAGGCTGTACCAGGGGGAGGTGATCAAAGAGCAGGCAGCTGAGTTCATGCCAGTGACTGCTCCTGTTCCCCTTACTAAAAAACCCACTTGAATACTGAGCTGTCCATGGGCAACATTTGAGTAGGGGGTCTAGGTACTCTCTATGCATGCTCCTTGCTTGATTCATTAGTGTCTGCAGGACCCCTTGGGCCCAGATTTTTTGGCTCTGTTGGTCTCTTTGTGAAGCACTTTTCCCTTCTAGGTCTTTCTATCTTCCCCTTCTTTATAAGATTCCCCACACTCTGCCCAAAGTTTGGCTACGAGTCTCAACAACTGCTTTGATACCCGTCGGGTAGAGTCATTCAGAGGCTCCTTGTGGAAGGCTCCTATCTTGTTCCCCTTTTTCCTATTTTGAATGTCTACCCTCTTTGCCCTTCTGCATGAGGATTAAGCCTCTTCCCCAGTGTCTTCTTTGTTGTTTAGCTTCTTTAGGACTATAGTAGGTTTATTCTATTTTATATGGCTAGTATCCACCTATAAGTGAGTATATACCATCTGTGTTTTATTCATAATAGCCAGAATCTGGAAACAACCTAAATGTCCTTCAAAGAATTGATACAGAAATTGTACATTTGCACAATGGAATACCACCCAGCTGTTAAAAACAATAAAATCATGAAATTTGCAGGCAAATGGATGGAACTAGAAAAGATCATCCTGAGTGAGGTAACTCAAAAGTATAGCTCTGTCTTGAAATAACACTATTCCCATTTTTTTGAGAAAGTGCCAGATTGATTTCCAAGGTGGTTGTATAAATTTGCACTCTAGCCAGCAATGGTGTAGGATTCCCCTTTCTCCACAATCTCTCCAGCATGTGTCATTCCTTGAGGTTTTGATCTTAGCTATGCTAACACGTGTGAGATGCTATCTGAGAGTCTGCATTTCGATTTGCATTTTCCTGATGACTGAGGATGTTGAGAGTTTCTTTAGTGTTTCTCCACCTTTTAATATTCCTCTGTTGAGAATTCTCTGTGCAGTTTTTATCTCATTTTAATAGGCTTATATGGTTTATTGGTGTTTAATTTGGGGGTTCTTTTTATCTCCTGGATTTTAGCCTTCAGTCAGATGTAGGGTTGGTGAAGATCCTTTCCAAGTCTGTAGGCTGTTGTTTTGTTCTGATGACAGTGTCCTTTGCTTTACAGAAACTTTTCAGTTTCATGAGGTCCCATTTATTGATTGTTGATCTTACAGCCTGTGCTGTTGGTGTTCTGTTCAGGAAATTGTCTCCTGTGTGAATTTGTTCAAGGCTTTTCCCACTTTAACTTGTAACAGTGTGTCTAACTGTTGAGGTCTTTGATCCGCTTGGACTTTACTTTTGTGCAGGGTGATAAGTATGGATCCATTTGCATTTTCTACATGTAGACATATTTTTAGAATCTTAATTTTACTTTTGGACATTAATTTTAATCCCTGTTACTACTGTGATAGCTAAAAATGAGTTAAAATTTGTAAGTTATCTGATTTAAGTGTATGGGATATTTTCCTATACACTAGTGAAGACATATAAGGGTAGAATTTTTTTTTATTCTCAATAAATTAGAATTCAGAGTGGGATAGTTAAGTATATGATTGTGTTTTATGTGATACCATGTTTTTGCATATATGTGTGTTTATGTGAATGTGTATAGTACAAATTTGTGTGAATTTGTACATAATTACATTTATCTCTATTCATGTTAGAGTGTCTGTGTGTTCATTAGTGCATATTTCAGTTAGTGGGTGTGTTGACATATGGACAATTTGAGTTTAAATATCTATATTATATATTCATAAGTGTGAATGTGTATATTTTGAGTACATGTATACTTATGTGTGAACTTGTGTATGCACATGTGTTTATGTGTGAGTAATTTGCACAGGCATCATTGTGTTTCAGTTTGTATGTGTTATGTGTTGTATGTATGTGTGCATGTGCATGTATGCATGTATATGTATATATGTATGTTTTTTGTGGTAAATTGTGCACAAGTGTGTTTTCATGTGCACATTCCTATGTTCCCATTTCTATGGAAAGAATCGAGAATTTCTAAAGCAAACACTGCTAAGGACACGTAGGTAATATTTTGTGAAGAGTTTAAATTTTTATGTAACTGAATCTAAGCAATGCATTATGCAGTAATGATGAATAGATAGGATTTTAATGAACTCACAACTAGAACTAAAATTATGTCAGTTGTAATTGTCCTAATCTGGCAGGACATTCACTAAGCACTTAGGCTGCAAGAAGGAATCTTGTGAAAGTAATTTCCTTAAGGTGCTTAAGATGCCCATTTTGAAAGATAATAAAATTATAATTTCACATCCAGTAACTGACCAGCAGAATTCCTCTGATCTTTAGATGAAAGTTGCTTCATGGGGTGCCTTTGTGTTAATGACTACTGGCAATTAGGAAATCACTTTGCCCCATTGTAGACATTACAACACAACTTCTTTTAACGGCAGTGATGCCATAGTGTGGGGTAGCACCTGATAGGAGAAGTACCATAAACTCATGACACACGATTCTAGTAATTTCAGCTATGCTATGCTATTGAATAACTGATGCCCGAACAGGCAATGAAAATAAGGCAGGCAAAAAGGCCTGGGGGATTTTCATGAACAGTATCAAATTCTCACATGTTAGTATTCTTAGTTCTGTTCTTTCAACTGTTTGTATTTTGATAAATCTCTTACTGTGTTACAGGGAGTTTCATTATCACAATGTGTATATGTCGTATTCTCCATGTTTTCAAGGTTAGAATTCATCCTTGGGTGATTTTGTGAGTAACATCTGCTTAAGCTTGACACTTATAAGTTATGTGTCTATGTAGGAGTGAGAGATGTGTCTATGTGTCCTGGAGGAGTGGGAGGGTCTAACTTTCACTCACAGTAATAGAATTTAAGTTGAACAGAGGTGAAAGAAGATAAAATAAGAAATGGAGACATAATTTCAATTACTAATAGGCTTCTGCTTGGTACTCTTTGACGAGGGAAATAACAGATGCGACTTAGAATATGATAAATCATTTCGAATTTACGTGACACAATTTCCAACATCCTCAATTATCATGTA